GAGGTATCCAGCTCCGGGAGTGCTTTTTTCAGACGTGGAAGGGCTCCTACTCCCTTTTCTGTACCTCCATCAGAGGAGTACCTGAAGGAGTTACATGCCTGTTGGCGGGAACCGAGAGCGTTGTCGCGTCTCTCCTCAGATGGTCGCGTATTAGCTGCCATGCATGAGTCGGTGAAGGCCGGCCTGGACCTGTTAGGTTAGGTGGCTTCTCTAAATTCTCCTTTGGTGTAAGTGTGTGTGTGGTTGTTTGTCCTGTTTGACTCTGTGTTGCTCTGCAACAGACTGGCAACCTGGCCAGGGTGGACCCTGCCTCCCACCCATTGACAGCTGGAGATAGGCACCAGCACCCCTCACGACCCCAGCAGGGATAAGCGTGACAGAAAATGTATGTATGGTTGGATGGATGTATGGCAGCCATGCATAGATACACATTCTCTGAACTTTAGTCATTGGTTTAAGTTGAACAGTAGTTAAATGAGGAATTTTAGGAAACAGTGAAAGTAATGAAGAATGTTTTTAAGGAAACATTCTCATATTTTTACATGAAAAAACCCTGAAAGAACTAGTTATCGCCAATATTGCTGATAAATAGTATTCAACTTAGAACCAGCTATAAAAGTCTAAACATGTTTATTTATTTTTTCTACCCCAGAAAATGTTTACATTTTATTTGATTGAAACTGTAAAAAAAAACAATTGTCCATTCGTGCCAACTGTACTGATGCTGTTGAACTTTGGCTTAGTCCACATGTAACAGTGTCTTGAAAAAAATGAATATCTCCCTTACACTGTTTTTAGATATAAATACCCATTACTCATTTCTCAGGAAAGAATTTCATCCACACCAATCCTCAGAAATCTCTTCAATGGAACATTAGCTGATAGAACACACTCACCAGACTTGTAATAGGGAGCAGAAACAGCCTGCTGAACCACGATTTCCTCCTNGGAGGCTGAGGCTGCATTTAATAAACTCAAGGCTCTTTTCTCTAGTGCACCCATCCTCGTCCAACCTGACCCCTCCAAGCAGTTCATATTGGAGGTGGATGCCTCTGATTCTGAGGTGGGGGCAGTCTTGTCCCAAGTGTCTGATTCTGACCAAAAGACTCATCCATGCGCATTTTTCTCCCACAGACTTTCGCCCGCAGAGCAAAATTATGACGTTGGAGACAGAGAACTCCTCGCAATTAAACTGGCTCTGGAAGAATGGCGGCATTGGCTGGAGGGCGCAGAGCATCCCGTTCAGGTATGGACAGATCACAAAAACTTATCATACATTCAGTCTGCCAAATGATCCAATCCCCGTCAGTCCCGTTGGTCTCTGTTTTTCTCACGATTTGACCTGATTATCTCCTACTGGCCTGGTTCCAAGAACATCAAACCTGACTCTCTTTCATGCCTCTATTCTCCTGACAAACCTGATACTCCTGATTCCATTCTCCCTGCCAGCTGTACGGTAGCTACTGTCTCCTGGGAAATCTCCGACCTGATTAAATTGGCCCAAGCTTCTGAACCCGACCCAGGAAATGGTCCACCCAACAGAACGTATGTACCCTCTTCAGTCAGGTCCCGTCTCATCCACTGGATGCATTCTGCAAAATTTTCAGCTCACCCCGGTGTAAGCAGAACCATAGCCCTGATCTCTCGCCGTTTCTGGTGTCCATCCCTGCACAAAGATACCAAAGAGTATGTCCTAGCCTGTCCCGTCTGCGCTTGCAACAAACCATCACATCAACCTCCCTCTGGTCTTCTCCATCCGTTACCTGTTCCATCTCGCCCCTGGTCCCACATCGCTGTGGATTTTGTAACCAGTTTGCCTGCATCCAAAGGTATGACAACCATCTTCACAATCATTGATAGATTTTCAAAAGCCGGCCATCTTGTCCCCCTCAGGAGACTTCCGACTGCCTTCCAAACAGCGCAGCTCCTCATCAAACACGTGTTCAAACTTCATGGAATCCCCCAGGAAATCCTGTCGGACAGAGGCCCTCAATTCACCGCACAGGTCTGGAAACATTTCTGTTCTGCCCTTGACACCAAAATCTCTCTAACTTCAGGTTATCACCCACAATCCAACGGACAAACAGAACGTCTAAACCAAGAACTGGAATCAACCCTCCGATGTTTCACATCAACCAACCCGATCTACTGGAGCCAATATCTTCACTGGGTAGAATACGCACTCTGTCCCCTTTCGAAATATCCTTAGGTTATCAGCCACCCTTGTTCCCCACTGACGAAAAGGAAATCTCTGTTCCATCAGTTCATCAAGTCTGAGACCAAGACCAAAACCAGACTTCCCCAGACCAAGACCTAAGGCCAAAAGTTTAGAATTTCAAGAAAAAACTCAGGACATCAGTTTTTTAACACCACAAAATGCAAAAATGTATGGGACAATGTATAACTAACCAACCAAAATCACTTACTGCAATTAAACTAGTTATTGTCCCAATAAATGGATATAAATAATTAATATAAATGCAGCCATGCATATGAAACTGCAAAGTGAAGCAGTGTTTTTGATTCCCGGCCTGGCCTTTTCTGCATGGAGTTTGCATGTTCTCCCTGTGCATGCGTGGGTTCTCTCCAGGTACTCTGGATTCCTCCCACAGTCCAAAAACATGACTGTTAGGTTCAGTGGCTTCTCTAAATTCTCCTTTGGTTTTAGTGTGTGTGTGCTTGGTTGTTTGTCCTGTTTGACTCTGTGTTGCCCTGTGACAGACAGCAGGGATAAGCGTGACAGAAAATGTATGTATGGTTGGATAGATGTATGGCAGCCATGCATAGATACACATTCTCTGAACTTTAGTCATTGGATTAAGTTTCATAGTAGATCAATTTTTAATCGTAGGAAACAGTTAAAGAAATGAAGAGTGTTTTTAAGGGAAACATTCTCATAGTTTTCCATGATTAAAAACCCTAAAAGAACTAGTTATTGCCAATATTGCTGATAAATAATATCTGACTTAGAACCAGCTATAAAAGTCCAAACATGTTTATTTATTTTTTAAGCCCCTAAATTTTTTTTACAACACTTTACTTAATTTAAACTGCAAAAAAAAAAAAAAAAAAACATTTGTCCATTTTTGCCAACTCTACTGATGCTGTTGAACTTTAGCTTAGTCCACATGTAACAGTGTCTTGAAAAAACTGAATATCTCCCTTACACGGTTTTTAGATATAAATACCCATTACTCATCAAGGGTTTCTCAGGAAAGAATTTCATCCACACCAATCCTCAGAAATCTCTTCAATGGAACATTAACTGATAGAACAAACTCACCAGACTTGTAATAAGGAGCAGAAACAGCCTGCTGAACCACGATTTCCTCCTCCTCCACCTTTACATCACGTGGAGCCAGCAGGTAGATGAGTCCTCCCCACATGTTCCACACCTGCATCCTTTCAGCTGTAACAGGGAACCTCTTGATGACACATGGCGCTCTCCATAACTCCTCCTGCTTCAGTACATCGCTTTGGCATCCAATCTGGATCTTTAGATGAAACATACCAAATGTCTATGGATTCAAAACCTGCATAAGGTGAAGCTGTATTTTACTGTCTGGCTTGGTGAATGGTAATATTATTTCATTTGGATCATGTGTGATATAGCAGAATGTTTAGAAGATAGAATAAAGAGAGTAAAGGTTTGATTTTAAGCACAGTACCACCCATCCCCTCCGGACAAGCTTGGTCGACAATGTAAC